GTTTTTGTGACTGAGAATTTCAACGAGATTTCTTGTCGATCATCTCCCCAAATCACCGCCCAATTCGACAGTTTCCGGTTTTGGATCACAAAAATTTAGATGAATCATTTTAGAAAAAAATTGATCTGTAGATCAATTTTATTTACATTTACAACAAATTTCCTTTGATAAACATTTAACTAGATTAGCTTAACTAGATTAGCTTAACTAGATTAACCTTAACAGCTTAGCTTAACTAGCTTAACTTAACTAGATTAATTTAACTAGATTAACTTAACTACATTTATCTAGATTCTTTTTCCTTTTCTTTGTAATCTAATTTAATCTTTTCTATTTTCCACCCTAAATCTATCGTAATTCCTTTTTTGCACAATTTTGAGATCCAATCGAACTTCGATACAAAGAATTTGAAATCCTATAAAGTATCCTAAGAAATTGTGCGTAGCTGCCCCAGCCAAATGCAATCAGTAGCCGGCCAGCGCAGTTACGTAGAAAATTTGAAGTTATATCGTTTGAAATTTTGAAAAATTGAAGTTAAAAACACGTTCAAAGTTATATCAAAGTTTTCGGTCTCGAGCGATTCGTTTTATTAAATTATTTTACGGTTTCACTGTATTTTCTTAACTGCCAGTCGAATAAAAGTAAACTTTTCAAAAAGAAACGCAAGAAAATACACATTACTGCAAGAAGAAATGTTAAAATTCTACAAAATTCATTCAAATTCATTTAAATTCCAAACCTCTAAACTCATTCACAAATTTTCAGATAAAACCAAAGCAAAAACATTGGAAGAAAATGTGAATTTCTCTTTTCTCGAAAGATTTTATTCGTTTACGGACGATAAATGGGAGAAATCAAGGCTATTCTCATTGCTAAAAATGAAACAGAGAAATGGAGGGCACCATAAAAATCTCGATCCCTCCATCTCCCCCATCACATTTTACATTTCAAGTTTCGAATATTTTTCGTTTAACTCTTCGATTAAAACGAACATTGAACATTTGACAACTTTGAAACTTAGAAATATTGCTATGTTGAACAGTTGGTGTTGTTGTTGTTGTTCTTCTTCTTCTTCTTCTTGTTCTTGTTCTTCTTCTTCTCTGTTCTTCTTCTTCTTGTTCTTCTTGTTCTTGTTCTTGGTCTTGTTCTTGTCCTAGTCCTAGTTCTAGTTCATTGTTCTTGTTCTTCTTCTTGTTCTTCTTCTTCTTGTTCTTCTTCTTGTTCTTCTTGTTCTTGTTCTTGGTCTTGTTCTTGTCCTAGTCCTAGTTCTAGTTCTCCTGTTCTTGTTCTTCTTCTTGTTCTTCTTCTTCTTGTTCTTGTTCTTAAGTTCTTCTTCTTTGTTCTTCTTCTTCTTGTTCTTCTTCTCTCTTGTTCTTCTTGGTTCTTGTTCTTGGTCTTGTTCTTTGTCCTAGTCCGAGTTCTAGTTCTTGTTCTTGTTCTTCTTCTTGTTCTTCTTCTTCTTGTTCTTGTTCTTGTTCTCTCTTCTTGTTCTTCTTCTTCTTGTTCTTCTTCTCTTGTTCTTCTTCTTGTTCTCTTGTTCTTGTTCTTGTTCTTCTTGTTCTTGTTCTTGTTCTTCTTGTTCTGTTCTTGTTCTTGGTTGTTCTTGTCCTAGTTCTAGTTCTTAGTTCGGGTTCTCGTTCTAGTCCTAGTCCTAGTTCTTGTTCTTCTTCGGGCAACAACAGACAAGCTGTTGAACGTTCAATCTCACAAATTATTCTAATTGAATTTCACAAAAAAACACGGGAACTGTAAAATCAGATCTAAATTGTTCAAAAATGTAAGCCAAAAATTGTGTTTACGATTTTAATGATAAAGTTAAGGTTAAATGATGTCATTAATGATGACAAACAACGATTAATGACACAATTGATGACACAAAACACAATTTTCGTATACTTTGAACAATTTAGATCTGATTTATGAAAGATTCGAGTCATTTCAAGCAAAAACAATCGGTAAAAGATAAAAATAACTTTAAACAAAACGGGTTCACGAAATTTTGAAAAACTTTTACAAAGTTTTTATTTAAAGTTTCATTTTAGATGATTAAGTGATTTGAATTAGTTCAGAATGCCGTGGGGTATCGAGGGTTTATTGAGTGATCCCTTTCGAGGGACTTCCCGATTATCCAGCGAAAATGGAGAAACCTCTCCAATATCTTCCCATGCTCCAAGAAGACCACTCCAATTGAATGCAAACGAGAAAAAAGTTCACAGAGAATCACAGAAAATTAAATTTAATTCATTTACACACATTCGCCCAGCAATTGGAGCTGCTTTTACTGAATTTTGGTTTAATTTTATGTAAATTTTATGTAAATTTAAACATAAATGAAACTTATTATAGTCATTTGATAGCCCTGAATCTTCTCTTGGAAACTAGTATGTTATAAAGTTATCGAGAACTATCTATGAGATAACTATCTTTGTACACTCGTAAATACAATCTATCTGGAAATGAATACCTTATTCTCTCTATTAGAGTAGTGCGTGATTAACCTGGCCAAGCTGAGTTAATCACGATTTTATGATTTCCAAGTTCGGCGCAGAAGCTCAACACTCAAATCCCCACTCAGATCTCATCGTCAACGGCATTTCGACCGCACATCAATAGGTTCTGATAAGCGAAGCCTCGAAATTTTGAGGAATTCTAAGGGAGGCACCCAAAAATAGTCGTTGCTAGTACGTCGCACTACCATAAAGAGAGGGAAGCACTACTATTAAGAGAGAATATGGTAAGGTCTGTCGTTAAAAACGAGCTGACACCCAAAAAATAGTCGTCATAGGAATGTCGGATCGTTTTGAATATGCTAAAGCAAACATTAGTTATTCGTTGCGAATAGGTTGCGTATGTGCCCGGAAAAATACCACAATTTGTTGGCAAAGGGGCAAAAGGCAAAGGTAAAGGCAAAGGTAAAAGGCAAAGGCAAAGGCAAAGGTGAAGCGGAGGCAAAGGCAAAGGTAAGGCAAAGGCAAAGGCAAAGCAAAGCGGCAAAGGTAAAAGGCAAAGGTAAAAGGCAAAAAAGGGGGCGGAAACAAAGGTAAAGGCAAAGGCAAGGCAAAGGCAAAGGCAAAGATAAAAAAGGCAAAGGTAATCAATCAATCAAGCTCGAGGGACAATCTTTTCCAAAAATAATTTAGCTTTTACATTGCCATATTGCTGTAATTATTTTATGCAATCGATATTTCAATAAAACGTGCTTCGAACTATTTGAAACCAAAAAATCATTTCAGGAATTCCTGCAGAAGAATTGGAGACTTATGGCCACATCTATGCTTTCTTTTCGTTTTATTCGGGATTTCCGGTTAAAAGTTAACGGATAGATTTTTCCATTTAAATCCTCATTTACAGGCTCCACCAACTACGAAAAATCAAAGCAAAATGCCAACAAGCGGCCGCAATCATTTTGATGATCAAGAACAATTTGGATCCTGAAGTGGCACAGGTACAATAAAGAAATCAAAAAAAACTTTTCTACTTTTACAAGTTGAACAATTAATGTAGTTAATAAACAAGAATTAATGAAAAGTGAACTAAACAAGAATTAATGAAATTAATAGATAACAATTAATGTACAGGGTGCGTCATAATTATTGCAACAAGATACTTCAAAGGCATTGCACACCAAGAAGTTTCACTGGAAGGACAGAAATAGCTTTATTTAACAGTAACAAATAAGGAAACAAGAGATCATTCGATATGACCGCCTTTTGCCTTGATAACAGCCTTTAATCGGTTCGGAATATGCCTCCACTGCGGCCCGAATGTCATCTTGGTGAGTCGCCTTCCATCCTTTGGGTCAAAAGACTTCTTCAAGGTCAAAGAGCAGACATTAGCCTCTAAGATTGCCCAAATGGAAAAGTCCATCACATTGAGATCCGGTGAGTTTGGAGGCCATTCATCCTTGGTGATCACTGAGGGAAAGTTTGCCACACACCAGTCCTGAAGGTCTTCTTAGTGTGAGCGTGGAGCCCATCTTGCATGAAGGTCCACTTTTTACTGTTCTTGGCTTTTACATGTCTATGAGGGTCCCAAGGTTTTCCTGTTTGGAAAACGGTCTTTGAACTCTTGTTGCAATAATTACGACGCACCCTGTAGATATATTGAATAGTTAATATTATTTGAATGCTTTATCTCATTCTTCAGTTTCGGTAAGAATTAGTGACTTATGGTGGAAATGGGCAAGTGTTCGACAATTGGATTCAGGTCAATAAAAAGATCTTTCATTTCAAAGAAACTCGTATTCAATTAAGTTAAATAAATTGATTTTTCTTGGGTCTTTTGCTTGGAATTTTAATAAATATTTATTAATAGCATTTGTTATTCAGTTTCGTTTGGTCATCCGTTATTATGGTCAATGAGCGATGAGCAGACATTGGTTGGTGTATTCAGGTTGTTTAAATCAATTTTCTAAACAAATTTTGATCATTTTGATAATTGGAACTTCGAAACAAATCATTTTCTTATTTATAGCTTTGTAGCTTTGTAGCTATATTCTACTGTGATCTTAGTGTAACTCAGCAAAGAGTTCGATTTGAAGCTTTCAAGCAAAGAATTTGATTTGAAGCTTTGAGTTAAAGAATATCTGGATTTGAAGCTTTGAGCAAAGAATTCTATTTAAAACCCTCTAGGTCATCCACTTGGTCTTCCCCTCACAAAAAGATGCTCCACGATTAACGATTACTAATGGAATGGTTTGTTTTGAAATTTCATTATTGAAAAACTAAAGCTCATCAACTTCTAGATGATTCCAAACTATTCAACAAAGCCATTGTATGATAAATATTTCGCATTGGGTGTGACAATGTATGGGCAAATGACTGCTGGAAGTTATTGCTACATTGGGCCACAAGGGATCGTTCACGGGACAACGGTAAGTAAAAAGAATGAGATTTATTTTAGAAAGATATAAAGAAAACTATTAGTATTAGACTAGAAAGGTTGAAAATTTGCTGAAATTGCTGAAATTGCTGAAACAAACTCAATTTTAGATTACAGTGATGAACGCTGGCCGCAAATACCTTAATACTGATGATTTAGCTGGGTAAGTGATTCATTTTTTGACATTGTTTACAATTTAACTTTGATTTTTGTTGCTGGGTTTGGTTTTGAAAAAAAATTCCCTTCTTGACCAAAATCTTCTTCTTCACCAACATCATTAAAAATAGTTTTCTAATCGTTTCAGAAAAGTTTTTGTGACGGCCGGCCTTGGCGGAATGTCGGGCGCGCAAGCGAAAGCGGCGAAAATTGCTGGATGTGTTGGAGTGATTGCTGAGGTCGGGGAAAGAAAGGATCTAGATTATGATGAATCAAATCAAATCAAATCAAATCAATCAATCAATCAAATCAAAAAAAGTCCCTAAAATCAATAAATTTATCGATTAAGAAACATTTCAGGCTTATCTAAAATGAATCGATTTTTAGATTAGCGAAAAAGCGCTGAAGAAGCGACACGACCAAGGGTGGCTTGAGGTAGAATTGGAGACTTAGATCGACTTTTATCGACTTTTATCTTGAAACTTTAAAATTTTAGATCTACAGCACGAATCTTGATGAAATCGTTGGCTTAATTAAAGAGGCGAGAAGCGAGAGAAAAGCGATTTCAATCGGATATCTCGGGAATGTTGTCGATTTATGGTAAGGCATCAATACAGTGATTCAATTTTTGACATTAGTTACAATTTTTAAGCTTGATTTTTGTTGCTGGATTTGGTTTTGAACAAAATTTGCCTTCTTAATTCACCAACATCACTTTTCAAAGTCAAAAGCATCTTAAAATTTAGCAACTTTAGCAAAGCAGTTTAGCAAAGCAAAGCAAAGCAGATTCAAGCCATTATTCCAGGGAAAAGTTAGCTTTGGAAGAGGAAAATCTCGTGGAACTTGGCTCGGATCAAACATCTTGTCACAATCCTTTTCTTGGAGGGTTTGTTTGTTTGGGAATCTTGAAAACAATTCAGATCTTTCATCTTTCAGATATTACCCAGTTGGGATCACTTTTGATGAAGCCAATCAAATGATGACCAATAAACCAAATGAATTTAAGGAGCTGGTCAGGGAGAGGTAAACCTTTCTTATAAACCTTCCTTGATGGCTTTTATAAAACAATACTTTTGTGGTAATTTTAAAAACTAACAGCAAAACTACATCCGGCAACTTTAATACTTTTATTTACTAACAAATAACAAATGGAAATGAAGAAAATCTGGGATGTAGTTAAAACACGGTGAATAGAAAACCTTCAAAAAGTTCAAGTCAAATTTCTTACAATCCAAATATCAAACTAACTCAAGTTTTATATAAAAAAACATACCTTACTTTCTTGGCTACATGATGGGTGAAACAGTTTTTAAAAAAAGTTTATATTTCAGATAAAATTAGGGGAGTGGGACAAATGCTACCTTTTTTTCCGCACTTAGCCCATTAGCGCACCTTTTTTCGCGTTTTAAAAAAGCTCTAAAAGCTAATATTAACCAATTTCTATTCCAAAAGTTGTTTTTCTAGGTAATTTGAGGGTGTCGAATCGAAATTTTGGCATATCAGAGCTTGTGGAAACAAACGGACGGAGTTATACACAAAGAGAAAGATCAACACTTTTCTGTAATTTGAAATGTCTTTCATTTCAAATTGGTTCCACACGCTCTGTTATGTCAAAATTTGAATTCGACACCCTCAAATTACCTAGAAAAACAACTTTTGGAATAGAAATTGGTTAATATTAGCTTTCAGAGCTTTTTTAAAACGCGAAAAAAAGGTGCGCTAATGGGCTAAGTGCGGAAAAAAAGGTGCGCAAATGTCCGGGTGCGCAAAAAAAGGTCGCATTTGTCCCACTCCCAAAATTAGTGTTCAAAACTAGTCTCTAAAGGTATTTATTTAAGCAATTGAGTATTTAAAGATATTCAGTTAACTAACTGAGTATCACTAAATACAGACGTAAATAGTGATACTCAGTTAGTTAACTGAATATCTTTAAATACAGGCGTTTAAATCCTTTTTGCAGTCTCCGCCGTCAAATCGCGGCCATTGATAAGCTGGCCAAACGGGGAATGTACTTTTGGGACTACGGGAACGCGTTTCTTGTCGAATGTCAGGTAAGGAAGATTTAATGTAAATAAAATATCTCAATTTCCTCTAATTTTTTCATTTCAGAGAGCCGGAGTCGAGATGTTGAAAGAAAATGCGAAAGATGACAAAGATTTTCGCTATCCAAGCTATTTTCAGGATATTATGGGGTAAAAAAGAATATTAATTTTTGATTATTATATTTCATTTTATAATTTTATTTAAACACCTCCTTTAGTGACATTTTCTCGATGGGTTTCGGTCCATTCCGATGGGTTTGCACATCGGGAACTCCTGAGGATTTAAAGTTGAGTATTTTAAAAATTAAAATATACTTTATTTAGAGAATCTGATAAAATCGCTTGTCAAGTGATCAACAAATTGCTGAAAGGAGACAGTGAGTGAATAACTTTGATTTACTTTATGCTTTACAATGAAAATGCATCTTTTCTAGTGCATTGAAACACTTTCAGGAAAGAGTTGAGTGCGTTAGAAAGGTTGTGTTTAGATCATTGGTTATAACAAGATAGTTTGGGTAGCGAAAAATTCTACAAATGAATTTTAGTGCCTGAATGGGTAAAGCAACAGTATGTTGACAATCGGAAATGGATTGTCGAAGCGGATGAGCACAAATTGGTGGTGGGAACACAGGTGAATTACAACTGATGAGTTGGATAGCAGGATTGGACTTAAAATTGACCAATCCTATTCAGACTATGCTAGAATTAACAATTTTGTCGTGAAACTAGTAGATTTTGGTGAATCTAGTAAAGTCTAGTGTGAATTTTAGCCTCATACTTCGATTTCTTGTCATTTTCTCATTTCAGGCTCGCATCTTGTACTCGGATCAAGCCGGCCGTACCGCGATCGCTCTCGCTTTCAATGAAGCTGTCAGAAACAAGAGAATTACGGCAAGTTCTTTATCTTTTAAGTGCCTAGAAGTTAGAAGATGTCTAGAAATTTCATATGGATCAATACTTTGTGCTTACAAGTTTTATAAGCTTTCTACCTGACGCGGTTTTTTTAAAACTACGTCTAATGCTTCCGAGTTTTGTTAGGATGCTTAATTCACTACTAAATTCAGAAGGATTCTATATACATTAAAGTATACCTTAAAAAGATATATGCAAATATATTAAAGTTTAAAAATTTAGGCCCCAATCGTGATTTCGAGAGATCACCATGATGTATCGGGTACCGATTCTCCGTTCAGGTTTGTAATGCAAAATATCGTAAAATACTATGCAAAATGATGTAGATAGATGTAGATTTAGATGTAGATTTAGATGTAGATTTAGATAGATGTAGTTTTAGATGTAGATAGATGTAGATATTAGATGTAGATTTAGATGTAGATAGATGTAGATTTAGATGTAGATAGATGTAGATTAAGATGTAGATATTAGATTTTCTTTTTAAATTGAATTGAAATTTAGAGAAACCGCAAACATCACTGATGGAAGCGCTTTCACTGCTGATATGGCCGTGCAAAATGCGATTGGGGACGCGATGAGGTAAGGGAATTGAGAATTTGAGATTTAGATTTAATTTTCAATAAACGATCTGCTTTCTTAGGTTACTTTATTGACTCAAAAAGTTTTAGAGGAGCCACGTGGATCTCTCTGCACAATGGAGGCGGTGTCGGATGGGGCGATGTGATAAATGGTGGATTCGGAATGGTGCTAGATGGAGATCTGGTAAAAAAAAACTTTTATAGAACAACTATAGTATCCACTACTTTAATTCATTTTAATACTCTAAACTGGTAAACTTTTGTGTTAAAATTCTGCTAGACTACTTTAACCCTATTACTACTTATAAACTTTCCAAACACATTTACTTGATCGTTTACCAGTGATTACCAGTGAGCGCCTGTCATAGCCGACAGACTAAGAGCTCTGTATCTTAGTTGAGAGGTCAAGGGTTCCATATTGGCTAGATTATTGGTTTTTTTCCATCTTTTTTTCTTCCCTACATTTAGGGTTTAAAGGTTATTGCTTTTGTATTGTTTGTACGACATTATTTGTGTGTATAAATTATTTTTTTTAATGCAAAAGTATACAAATTGAAGCATTTCAGGAAACGGATCGTCGTGCTCGTTCGATGCTCTCATGGGATGTATCAAATGGAGTGGCAAGGAGGAGTTGGTCAGGGAATGATAAAGCAAAAGAAGCCATTATCAGGTGAAACAAAAAATATTGTTAACTGTTTAAGTGTTTAGATTTAAAAAGAAAGATGCTTTTCTCAAGAAAAAGAGGCTTTATTGATGTCAAAGTTAAGCTTGCTTGCTTTAAGCAATTGAAAGCAAAGCAAAGCAAGTATTGAAAAAGCTGACAATCACCATTGTTACATTTCAAATTTTTACCTAAATAAGTCTAAATCTAAATTTGTTAGTTTTATTTTAGCTTTAAAGGAACTAAATAGGAACTATAAAGGAGCTTTAAAGGAGCTTTAAAGGAGCTAAATAGGAACTATAAAGGAGCTTTAAAGGAACTATAAAGGAGCTTTAGAGGAGCTTTAAAGGAACTAAATAGGAACTATAAAGGAACCCTAAAGGAGTTTTATTTTTCATTTTCAGAACTCAAAAGACCGTCTCCGGGCTTGAGGTGACTGTCCCGTATCAAGTTGATCAAGAACTTCTTCAAAACTTTTTTAACTAAAAACTTTCCCTCTTTTTATTTCAATGTTTTCTAATAGAACTTTTCATTCTTTTCTTCTTTTCTTCTTTTCCTTCTTTTCTTCTTTTCTTCTTTTCTTCTTTTCTTCTTTTCCTTCTTTTCCTTCTTTTTCACTTTTATCTGATAAACTTCTTAGCCGTTTCGCAAATAAAAACCTTTTCAAATCAGCTTCAAAAAATGAATCACAAAGCCACAAACAATAAAATAAAATCTTCCACAAATTTCAATTCTCGTTCATCGATTCTTAACGCCATTTGATGCTAACTTTGATCTTCCTAATATCTTTGAAATGTCTTTAAAGTCCTCTATCTCAATCTTGTTTACTTTTAAATGCAATTTCTTTAAGTTTATTCAATAGATAATCATTTTTTGACTATCAAATGACTCTAAACATTTCAAATTTGCACAAAAAAAACACCGAGATAGATGCCTTCTAAGGTCTGTTCATCGTTCGAAAAGGAGAGAACAGCAACTATTGTTTTGGGAATTAATTTTTAATGCGAATACTATTAGAAAATTTGCATAAGTGTGCCAAAAATATGTACAAAAGAGATATTGTATTATCAGATTGGATTTAAACCGTAAAGCCATTTCTATAACCGTTTAGTCTATTTAGTTGCTTAATAGGATCGTTTTAATGTTCGAATGCTATGCATAGCTTATAAATGTTGTAGCCGATTATGAATGCGTGGAGTGAGTGGGTCTAGATCTAGGTCTGGAGTCTGGAGTCTAGGTCTGAGTCTAGGTCTAGGTCTGGAGTCTGGGTCTAGATCTGGAGTCACAGGTCTAGGTCTAGGTCTTGGTCTAGCTCTAGGTCTAAGGTCTAGGCTGCGATCCAACCATCAAGTGTTTGGTATCATTCAACGCAGAAACATTGATAATTATATTTAATCTTTCTAATTTAAAAAATTTGAGTAAAAAAGAAAAAAAATTAGAGCAAAACAGCTGTTTGTTCCGAGAGAAAACAACTTTGAAGTTCCGCTAATTTTTTTCTTTTTATCCAATCTTTCTAATTTAAAAAATTTAACATAATTATCAATGTTTCTGCGACCAGGCCTGGCTCTTAAACAATTGATGGTTGGACTTGATCTAGGCCTAGATAGAGACTCAGACTGAACCCACTCATTCATAATCGACTACAGCCATATAAATCATCAATGTTTTTCCAACTTTTCGGGAATATTTATGTCGTGATCGTAATCGTCTGGGATGTGGGCACCTGAAACGATGTTTGAGAATTGTATAAAGATACCCATGCTGGCTAAGAGCCTTAGCTGGCTAAGATCTTAGTCTAGAGATCAAGGGGTGAATCGCAGCTAGATTATTCACCGTTCTTTTTTTCCAATCCAAGTAAAGAATTACTATCTGAATTACTATCTTTTTGATTACAATTTAGATTTTTAAAAAAACGATTACCAATTAGTAAATGATACACCCATCCTCCGAATGGTGATCCGATGAACGGCGCAATAATCCGGAATCCAGAAATAGTAGTTGTGATAGCTTAAAATTACATTTTTGTAAATAAAATGCCGTTATAAAAACCGTTTTATATTTTTTTTCTCTTAGAGACGATCTTATAATAGAAAAACGAGAATTTACAAAAAAGAAAACTCACGAAAAAAACGCGGATCCATAGAGTAAATAAGCGAACAAACGAGGCCCCAAATCTCCCCAGCCGGATTTGATCGGATAGCCAACATTTAAAGCAAAACCACAACCTAGAAATAAAAAAGATTCATTTTAATTAATAGCTTTAACTTTATTTAAATGAATTTATTTTCTATATTTATTCATTCAAAAAGTCAAAAAAAATACCGTATTTTCTCTAATAATAGTGCAACCCTAGCGTTGCCTAAATTACTCGAAATCTCAAAAGCCGCTTATCAGAACCTATCCGATGTGGGGTCAGGAAAATGTAGCTGACGATGAGATCTTGTGGGGAAGTTTAGTGTTGAGCTTCTGTAGAAAGAACTTGGAAACCGTAAAATCGTGATTAACTCAGCTTGACCGGGGTTAATCACGGGTTGCCTAAATTCCTCAGAAATCTCGAGGGCCGCTTATCAGAACCTATTGATGCGGGGTCCGAAAAATGTAGCTGACGATGAGATCTTGTGGAGGATTGATCATTGAACTTCTGTGAAGAACTTGGAAACCGTAAAATAGTGACCAACTCCTAGAGCTCGTCGCGGTGCACCACTAATAGAGACCACTCTTACATAGTAGCTAACTGAAAACTACGACACACTATGAAATTCTTTACAAGATTTCCCACAGATTTCTAACCCGGCTTTATCCTTTTCTTTCTTTCTTCTTTCTCTTGGCAAGTTAAGATACCGGATAGCTTAGAGCAAGACAAAAGGTCGAGGTTTAATCCCCTCTCCGGAAATCTACTTTTCAATTCCTTTAGATCTTTATTACCAATCATGAACAGCACAAAGCCAGCATATAATGGATGAAGATAAACGGGAATCTAAAAAAAAACTTCTATTATCATCAAGGTTTTTCTTCAAACTTTTATTCCGTCGATCCATCAACATGGCGACAAAAAACGTCAAACAAGCCGTGCCAACAATCTGTTTTTTCTTTTCTGTTTTTATACCGTAAAGTCTCACTACAATTCATTGATTCGTGATTAAATACTTCTTTATTTCGTTAGTAATCAGTAACCAATTTAAATAACTTTACCTGATCGGTAAAAGCTGTGATATGTGTAACGTGTGGCTGTGGGAAAGAACAAAACGCCAATCCAGTCCCGGTGGACCATCGATTTGCCTTAATGAGCCGGAAAAGTGATCAGATTGATCTAAACAGATAGATGGATTATGGTGGGTTTTTACTCAAATTCAATTTTAGAACTCACCAAGATAAAAGTAATATGACGAGAAAGCGGCACAAAAAGCCAGCTGCTGTGTGAACGATTGCGTAAAGGGGAACATGTTGAAGCAGGATACGACCAAATGTCAGCAAGAGAAGAAGAGATTGCCAGTTCAGATGACCACCTTCAATCATTTTAGATAGAGAAATATACTAAAGCCTTTAGAGCTAAAAGGGGTCAGAGAAATCTCCTGAATCTCTGTGGTTGGTTTTAAAATGTTCATCATGAAATTTCGTTGTAAAAATCCACAAGTTATTTAATACACCTTAGTGTAAAAACATAAGAGAAAATCTGTATCAAAGTCAGACTATCTACTTGGAAGAGTCGATCCAGTTAAATGCTCCGGAACTTTGAGCATCGAAACCCAATCAACTCATGATTGCTTTTATTAAAATCTTCATCAAATTTGACTAAAGAAAAGTGAAATTTGTTTTGTAGACTTACCGATAGAAGAAATGCGTGTTAAAATTCATTATCTAAAGTATAGGGTGTACTAGTATACCCCAAACTAGTATATGCTATCAGGGGTTTGGGAATCTTCTATTTTCTTCCATATCTCGATTCCTAGTAATTTAGATACAATTACATAAAAGACTTTGATTCTTGAAGACTTTGATTTCTGATTTCCTAGTTTTTCTCTTTTATATTCATCTAACTCACCTGAGGTTCCACCGAGAAAATGCGCGCAAAATGTGAGCGCGAATCCCCAACCGAGATTGATGTATGAATGAAGGTGGTCAACTGGAAATAAATATAGATTTAATCAATCAAATCAATCAATCAAATGAATCAATCAAATGAATCAATCAAATGAATCCAATCAAATCAATCAATCAAATCAATCAATCAAATGAATCAATCAAATCAATCAATCAAATGAATCAATCAAATGAATCAATCAAATCAATCGAAAATCAAATGAATCAATCCAAATGAATCAATCAAATAGATCAATCAAATGAATCAATCAAATGAATCCAATCAAATCAATCAATCAAATGAATCAATCAAATCAATCAATCAAATGAATAAATCAAATGAATCAATCAAGTAAGATCAATCAAATGAATCAATCAAATCAATCAATCAAATCAATCAATCAAATCAATCAAAACTCACCCCTTCACCCAAGAAGAACTGCATCGAGATCCATAAGCCGATAAACTGAAATGAAGAAATTGAAGTTTGCAAGGAAGTATTCCTAACCGGGTCTTTATGGGCTGAGAAACAAGGCCTGGCCACTGGCTTGCAGTGAATCAAGGCAAAGCCAGGCTTGGTCGAACAACGGACTAACCCAAAAGACAAACCAAAACCTTTCTTTGCTAGCACATTTTACTTCTTGCAGTAGTCCTAACAATAACGATTTTTGTGATAATATAAAGATTGAACCTTTTTCTGAAATTTCTCTATCTAAGCCACTGGCCAAACCCACCAAAAAGACGAACATCCCGGTGAATTCGGCCAACAAATTGACGATGAGGCGATTCTTGGTTTGAATGGCTTCGCGGAAACTTTGATCTTCCGGATACAATTTCATTTTGAGATCAAGAATATAGAATAATAGATATAGCACAAATAGGTGCACAAAGTAAATAAAGTTCGAATAAAGTTCAGACCGAAGTTTTAAACTCTTTCTGAATAATTTTGAGTTGGGTAATTAAACCGGTTTCGTACTCTTTAAAATAAACTTGAGTGAATTGAACCGAATAGAATAGATACTGCTGGTGATGGGAATGAAATTGGTACAACTAAATGAAATTCACAATTCAAAATTACAATAGAAATATATTGAATTCAGAAAATTTTATAGCTTTTCCCAAGTCAAATGATTGGGATTTTCAGAACTTTTTGGACTTTACCCAAAAACGTTCGGTGATCTGCCCTTTTCTTAATAATCTATTTATTTTCCCACTTTGATATTTTTCTTTTCCTCTTTTCTAGATATTTTCCTTGATGACACTTGATTTCTTTTCTTCTATTCACAAATCCGATCAGATTTTTCTTCTTCTTCTTCTTCTTCTTCAACTTCTGCTGTGAAAAATTTGATCTGTGAAGTTGACTCTTCTCCCGACAGTCGAGATCAAAACTGAATCAAAGCTGAATCAAAACTGAGATCCCAAAACTTTTTCTTGAACACCTTTGAGGTTGATGGAACAGAAAATGAAACAATTTCAAATTTCAAAGTCAGGATAAAAAGAGGTATGAACAATAAAGTCTGGAGGTAAAGATTCAAAGAATCGATCCACGACTAAAATCGTTTCATCAAGCCGTTTTTTCTAACGAAACAGCTAAGCAAATCAGCTGGAAATCAGTGAGGCTTCAAACTAGGAAAAAAAAAACACAGCTTTGAATATCTGTGTGCGGTCTTAAAGTTTGGTTTTTCCACAGAAGTTTCCCTCCCGAACTTTGAGTCCGCCAAGAGAGCGCGTTTTAGCAAGCGACTACGCGACTGTACGCCGAAAATGCCCCCATCATAGATGGGTTCGCGAAAGGAACCTTTAACCTTTTAATTCATTCGCGACGACGGCATTTTCGGCGTACGGTCGCATCAGTCGTTTCCTAAAACCAACTCTTTACGACTATTTAGAGAAAGTTTTGGAGGGAAAATTTCATTCAGTTTTAATCGTTTCTGGAAAAATTACTAGTCTGTTCCTCTTTCTTTTAGGTTGTTGTCTTCCAGGATTCTGCAAAAATTCTTTTGTTCAGGTGAGCATGTCGAAAAGTCACGGGGAGAAAGGCATAACTCGAAGTGTTGGAAGCACATCTTTTGGAGAAGCTGTCGGCAAGACTGAAGCCCGTTGCAAAAACCGCCCAAGACTCTCACAAAACGATCATTTGCCATCCAAGTGGAGCTGAACAACAAACTCTTGGAGCTGATCGAGAAACGACCAAACAAAGAAACTCCCCGTCGATCGAATGCTGCGCTCATCGCCCGAAAGCCTTTGCGATGGTCGATGCTGCTGAAAAAAAAAAAAAATTAGTGAAGCTGGCGGTGATAGAATTATCGGAACGCAACTGCCCAAGGAGTCGAAACAAAAAAATCTCGTTCGAAAACGAAGATCAAGTTGAAAAACTCTGGAATCGCTGAAAGACCACTAAGAAGGAGAAAGAGGACTACATGTTTCCGGGTCACGTCAAGAACACTTCTCTCAGCCCCCAGGCCCGCCGCCAAAGCACATTAAAGAGCGTCATGCTGGGACTTCAAAGGGAAAAACGTTGCACTCACTTAGGGCGGGAGTGACAGCAGGAAGCCGCCAAGGCAAATCTGGCTCGAAGCTCTTCGTCGCCAAGGTCGTTGGAATTCGCTGGCCGCGATGGAGGCCTTCATTCACGACTCAGAATCGGGGCACAAAGGACGAACCACAAAAATTCCAGTAAGACAAGGAAGGCGATTGAAATTTTGTTTTCTTGGATTGTTTTATCTCTCGCTGTACTAATATTGTTATTCAATTCAGATTATTCCTTCCTTGTCCCGTGGCAAATGTTACTCACTTTTTACGTGATTAAAGTGTATGTTTCATTTTTTTCTGCTAACCAATAAACCTTACACACTTACCTGCGAGAAAGTGCACCAAAAAGATATTTTGTGTGATTTGGGACGGAAAAAAAACAATGAAATAAAAGACTTTTAAAGTGAAACCACAAAAATTCAGCATTTTTCGCGCCACAAAAACCACTACTTTTTCTGGTCACTACTACTTACTAATGTGCTTTGAATCTGACCCCAGAATAAGGAGCCAGTCACAACTTGGAAAATGTGGCAAATAATCGTTCAATGATCTCTACAGAAACGTCCAATGATTCCTTGAGAAATTTGAAAAAATTAGCTCCTTTTTTACAAGCAAAAATTAGCCCTCTTTAAGGACAAAGCTGAGGATTTTCTAGAATCCAGTCTCAATGCTGTAAAAGAACAATTGAGAAATATGAATAAAAGATTTAAAAATTTCCAAAATTAATAAAAACTGAACCCAAGAATTCGGTCAAAAATCGAATTATAATGCCTTAGAGCGGAACTGCGGAAAAAAAAAACCCACAAATTCTTCTTCAATTCAAAAGGATGATTTATCTTATCTGCGGAATTTGCTTCCATTTTTTACAAAGCGCCTCAAAAATCAATTTTTTCTAAATGGTTTTTTCCTGTGAAAATCAAAAGAGCAATGAATTTATTTACAAATTAGAATTGAATAAGCTAAACGGCGGCCGTTTCTGGTCGATCCTCATCGTCGATGTCGTACGGAATGTGAACACCTTTGAATTGAGACTTTGTTTAGTTTAAGGGTTCAGCTTGCACATTAGACTTTTGCTTCTTTGTGTACTTTGTGCTCTAAACTTTAAAACCCACACCTTTTCTGGTGCACTCGATTTTCTCAAAATCAGGAATTTAGGCACCAGAAAGGATGTGCTTACTATTTGAGGAAAAGCGAGGAAAATGAAGGATCCAGCACGCCAGAAAAGGTGCGCTTACAGATTTGAGCACAAAATATACATTTAGACGATGTTTTGCCTGCTTTCACAACTCACCAACGAATATATGATACAGCCATCCACCCAACGGACCTCCAATGAACGGGGCCACCATCGGGATCCCCAAGTAATACAGAGCTGTATCTGGAAATAGCCAATCACTCAATCACAACTCTTTTAACTTTGCACTAATATTATATTTATCTCAGACTTAGGTCTTTTTAACACGTTGACGACAATGGCGTTTTTGCACAAACAATCCCATGGGACAACGTTGTTTTCGACAAAAAATGTCCCCTGACATCAGGTGACAATGTCTGAGGCGAACGAATATGTGTCAGACAGCATCAGGTGACAATGTCGTCAGCGATGTGAAAAACTCGAGATCCCTTGAAACAAATCAGATCCTTCAATTCTTTAGATCAAAACGAATCATAAATACTTGAATCATTTTATTGACATCTTGGAGATTTGAATTGCCGTATTTATTCTAATAGAAGCATCATTAAAGATTTAAAAATTGTCATAGATTAAAAAATTGAATTTTTCGTACAACTTTTTCTCCTAACATGAGTGGGCGGGGCTTAAGGGTCGCTGATAGAAGCGAATGCGCTTCTATTTGAACTCCGTCGCTAAAATTTGACGATAAGAGCTAAAAGACTCGATTCTGGGATAGAAGCATAAATTTTTATCTCTGAAACAAACGCGAGAAAACTTCGCGTCCGTAGACGAGACACTGGAACAGACGAGGACCCTGAAATCCCTGGCCGGATTGATCGGATAGCCAAGATTCAGGGCAGGAACTTTAACCCTAAACATTTTGAGGTTATTCGATTTTGTACTTTATAGATATTCCTGAATAAATACAACTGGAAAGTTTCCGGATTTGGAAATTTTCAGATTCAATCTATTCTTGAAAGCTCTTTCCTACCAAACCGACCTATCAAAAAGAGCGTCAACCCCACCAATGAGGCGACGATTCCTCCCGGAATCTGAAAAATCAAAGTTTTCGTTTGAGAATGAATTTCTTGCTTCACCTTATTTCTCTTATCGGTAAAAACGGTGATGAAAAATGTTAGACACGCAGTTCCAACAATCTGAAAGAGATTTAAGCGAGCATTGATTGTTTATTTATTTATTTGTTATTGTTTTATGGCATTGATTACATTTATTAATTTATTGATTTATTGTTTTATTGATTTATTTAATTATTAGTTTATTGTTTTATGGTATTGATTTATTGTAGCTTTACTCAACTCAGCTTGCAATTAGAGATCAGATCTTAGAGATCAGTTCTTCGAAATCAGATCTTAAAAGTCAGATCTTAGAAATCTTAAAGATAAAAAGTAAAGCTTATTGTCATTCCACTGGACCAATGACAAGAACTTTTCATTTTTCTCGCTTGATCAACGAAACACGTGACATGAGAGACGTGAGCATCGGGGGAACGATGGCTGAAAGCACCGGCTACGCCAACCAAATGGACCTGTCACCGAGCGTTCACCGCCCCGCAGATTTCTCCAGGTGGTCTAAAGATTTGAGTCGATAACTACCACAAATACAGTAGAACGCCCATTCCCCATAATGACAGGCGTACAATCATCGGTAGTCTAGCCACAGCTTTGAACGTTCCATCCTCCACTTTACTTTATGCTACAGTGTGCACTTGAGTCAAAAATGATAGCCCTTGTAATCTAGTATTTTATACCAAAAAGTGTAGTTAAGGAAAATCTCCGAGCTGAGAAAAAAAAATGGATTTTCTAAAAATTAAAAATTAAATTAGTTAGACCACACGACTGTACGAGGAGGTAGCGTTCTATTAAAAAATGTTATGGTAGAGGTTGAAGCTCTTTTGTTGTATAATTGCCTTACAGTAATCCAAGCAGTGAGCATCATTTAGCTAACTAAAAAGCCTAACAATGAATACTCTAACTAAAAAGTTAGAGCAAGCATCTAAATTTCTCCAAAGGCGGGCCAAAATAGTAGAAATAGGCACAAAAGCTGAGAGAAAAGCGACCAATCGTTTTGGACAACAGTGTAAGGAGCAAGAGATGATGAAAAGGAAGACGACCGAGCGTGAAGAAACAGAAGGAAACCGCTGGATTGAGGTGACCGCCTGAAGTGAGTTTAAGCAGATTCATCTTTTAGATCTTCAATCGCTAGTCAAAACAAGCTTTCTTCAGCAACCTGAGCTTCAGGTGAGTAGATAGACACGCAAAATCCCAGCGCTAATCCCCAGCCCAGGGGATTCACTTGAATGAAGGTGCTCAATGCCTGAACAGGTCACTCTTTTCTGGTGTTAGAGTTTTTCTACCTGTCTTCCCAATACATGCTGCATCGAGACACAGAGACCGATGAACTAAAAGTTTTCCTGTTTCTTTCTCTGAAAGGCCGGTTTTGCGATGAAGACAAAAGTGCCGAAGAACTCTCCGAGCAGATTGACGATTAAACGATTCTTGAGGTGAACGGCTCGTCAGAGGCGTTCATCGGGTAAAAGTGATCGGCCCATATCTAACAATGAGAATATATCCAAGCATTTTCATTTTCCATGTGTGGATCTAGAGCTAGAGTGTTTTTTTTTCTTCTCGAAAACTAGAAGTAAACTCGCCTCCATTTTCCCCCAAACCCATCTACTTTTAGGATCATTTTGGTCAGCGTTATTCCGAGAGTGATTTTTCTGGCTCAAATCACGACAGAACCAAGTCAGGACTGGATTTGCCTGACTCACAGCTTATGAACCCGTCGATCTGGATCTGGTTTATGACATTATCTAAGCCAGATCTGGATCCTAGTTTATCCCATTATCTAAGCCAGATCTGGATCTGGCTTATGATATGATCTAGCTTACTATTGGGAGGGTCCGATTGGAAAATCGATCGTTTACCCTCAAAGAATCAAGCTAAAAGTAGACAGTTTCGATACAAGGTTACGATAGTTTTTAGAAAAAAGTGATACGTTTAAGAAAATGTCTATGGGCATGCCATTCTTGGTTAAAAAAAAAAAAAAAAAAAAAAAAAAAAAAAAAAAAAAAAAAAAAAAAAAAAAAAAAAAAAAAAAAAAAAAAAAAAAAAAAAAAAAAAAAAAAAAAAAAAAAAAAAAAAAAAAAAAAAAAAAAAAAAAAAAAAAAAAAAAAAAAAAAAAAAAAAAAAAAAAGGGGGGGGGGGGGGGGGGGGGGGGGGGGGGGGGGGGGGGGGGGGGGGGGGGAATGATTATCGATTCAAACCCACCTGACAGCGCGGCAAACAGCGAATCGAGCTCCTGTTACCTGTATGCTTGATGATTGTCCTCACAGGCCCTCATTTCCTCCATTTTTCTAGGGACGGTTTCAAAGGCGGGCGAAGAGTCTTCCGCCCAATCATCTATTTATTGTTTTTCATTGGGTGCAATTGGAATATAAAATCCTTTCCCTCTTTCCTCAGTCTTGTTTTTTTTGGCCAAAGGTTACTCATCCTCAAAAATGAATTAGTCACAGCAACCCTGACCCTTTCATAAAAAGCAATTGAGGATCTCTTTTACCCATTCTGTTTGTTCATCGAATTTCCTCACCTTTTCACGCCTTTCTCCCCCCATAGGCACCCGTCTTTATTGTGATTTTTATTTTTCATCCGATTTGAGGGGAAATGATGCAAGATTATAAAAGCAGCAAAATCGAGACCAGACACTAGAGTTGAGTTGAAGAATCGTTGCCGAGTTCAAAGCGATTTTAGTCTTTCCGCCAGCTTACAGAGTACAATTTTAAAGGGTGCTCAAGGTGCCCAGAGCTGTCTAAGAATTCATATATTTTTGCAAAAATTGTCTCGACTTCTTTCTTTTATTATGACCACCTCCAAATAAATTAAAAAAAGCACAAAAACATACGAAAATACAATCAAAATGCTTAGAATAAATCTTTCTTCCTTTGTCGAGCATCACCCTCGCTTTGCACCCGTGTTTGTTGGCCCTCGGCTTTTTGTATCTCACGACATACCTAAATGAAATGAAAAACTAAACAGTTGAATTTTTAAAATATAGAACTTTATTTAATAGTTAATCATCAATATCTTTTACCTGATCCAAAGCTGTTTACGCAGTCTTTCCGACGTCTTTTTATCACCCTTGTTTCGTATCAAACCCTGAAAAAAATGAAAATTTGAAAAGATAAGATAAGAAAAGAAAGACCTGTTCAAGTTTGGCTCTCTTCGATCAGAGCTCCTTGATTTTCTTTTCGTTGTCGAACACGGTTTGCCACTAGTATTGATTTCTCGGAAGCCTCGCTCAATTGCTGCCGTTCTTTCTAAAAATTAGAAAATTATAAAAGCCTGTCAAAGTTATCCATGATCAAGTAAAAAATTCACCGCCATTATTTTCCCGTCATCTTTCTCCTCGTTTCTCGGTGTCTCCAATTGTCGATTGATGAACGCAAAAATGTCGGCCTCAATTCCGCTAAAAATCATTTATTTTACAACCAACCAATAATCAATCATGCAACAAAACCCACAGGAAACATTTTGTTGTTGCTTCGATATCCCTCTCTTTGTTTGCAGTTTTCCCGTCGATTTTCCGAATTTTTCTTTTTATTCTCCATCACATAGTCAAGCGATTTATCTAAATTAGTTTTTGAGTCCAACATCTTTATAAAGCTTACGCGTTTTGGTAGAACGGCCCTTTGAATCGCGTGCTACAATGCCATCCCATTTCTTTCCAAGACCTTCACCCAATCTAAGAAATATTAATAGCATTAGATGATTTAGATACAACAAAAATAATAGAAAAAGTAAAAGAGGGCACTTATAGCCCATCTTTTTGCATTAATTTCAATCCAAATCCTCCGCCGTGCCAATCACCGAGCTCACCCACACTGACGTTGCCATATTTTTGAGCCTAAATGATGTTGACAGTCGGTTAATGTTTAATACCCAGTACTCGGAAGTACAAAGTATCAAAGTTTCAACCTTTAATTCCGTGTATTGATTAGACCCATCGAAATCACCGGAAGGAGAGCTCGATTGCGTGCGATTCATCCGATGAAACTAAACGTAAATTTAACAATTTAAATTTCAATTGATCCAAATGTAATTTTAAGCATATATTAAAACGATCAACATATAAGAATTTATTCGATTTTGCCCAGCAAAATACTAACCTGTTTAGACTTCCGATGAATTGAAGCGGTGAAACCTGTGAAAAAAGTACACGAACATCTTTGCCCGTTTGCAAAATCTTCACAGCCATTTCCCTGGAAAACAAAATTGCTCTTAAATACAATAATAAGTGATCTAATTTGTAATCTACTAAAGTGTAAACTCACGAATGTTTCCTGTCGATATCCACAATTCGGGCAACCTCCCATAAATCATCGTTGCTCGCAAGAATGAGACTGTCCCCTTGAACTCCACTAAAAATATAAGAATTAAAACATCAAAATATGTTTTATA